CACACACACACACACACACACACACACACACACACACACACACACACACACAAAATTGCTGAGGGCCTCGCACGTCAACTTCGCACAGGGCCTCGCACCCCCCTTGCGACAGCCATATGCGGCTGAGCACATTAAAGCCTGTGTTACACTTTCCGCGTGCGCGCTGTCCGTGTACGCAGGCACGTGCACAGGTAGGGCTCAACCTGTGCAGAGCACATGCCCTTTTTGCCCTTACACTCCGAAGTGCCCTTTTTTTGGTGATGGTGTTTTTTTTTCCTTCAATAAATCAGTGATATTGGTCACCCTTTACATCTGTCTGCTTTACAAATATTTAGCTAATGAAAGGTATTAAAAAGAGCTCGTGACTAAATCTTGTTGGATCCGCTCAAACTGTCAGTAAACCTCATAACTCCACCCCCTCTATCTTGACTGAATGAACTGAAGTTCCACAGCAGCTAAAAAAGAGTGAGTACACAAGAGCAATTCACAAACACAGGACCCTACAAATAATAATGACAACTACCCAGGAGGCCCATTGTTATAGCCTACTTTACATCTAGAAGGCCAGATATCCTTTGCACTGTATAATGCCAATCTATCATACCATGTCCTTTTTCCAGGCCAAGTCTATTAGTCCCGACTTCCACCTTTGAGATTTAGAAATTAAGCAGTCTTTAAAAGCCATATCATATGTCATTATAATACTGTATAACATGTAGACCTATAAACCTAAGAAACCCTAGATATAAAAGTTGAAATGAAAATGATTAAGTTAGTAAGTTAGACAACTTTTCAATTCAAATGGTAATTTATTAACTTGAATTTATAGTTAACTTATAGTTCTTACATATTCTTAACATACTGATATCGCGCACAATAATAATGTACTATTCATATAATGATATAATAAGGCTAATATAGTCACATCTGCACTTTCATTCTTAATTCAAAATAAAACATGTTAATTCATCAATAACATTCATTTCTGATAATCCCAGATTGTTATGGTCATGCAGGTTTTACGCATTAAACTCGTGGCCAAAAAAATTTAGTTACCCCGATAAAATGACTTCTGGCCATAACATCATATCATGGTCCCATAATGATGTTATCACGACCTACTATATACATCATGGGCGGCCAAGACAAAACTAAGTGAACCAAACATGTCTCTGCAGTCACCGTAATTTGGAGTTGAGACTTCACAAACACATTCTGGGGACACCTAAGACTTACATTACATCATGTAAAAATGGGCATAAAAGGACCTCTGTAAAGGAAAGTCTTGATATTAAAATAATAAAGAAGAAGAAGAAGTCTTGATATTATGACTGACCACTGGATGGCACTCTTCAAGCGCGCATGGAATCTGATCAATTGGACTGCGTCCTCTCAGATGTTCAGCACACACGCGCACAGCTGTGACGTTTGTCTGTGTTTAGCACTGCTCTTGGCAAGGTCGCTGCTTCCGCTGACAGGATTTCAAAATCGTGATCTGCGATATACTGTTTTTTCCTCATTAAAATATACAGCGACCGTATGAGGAATTATATTGCAATGCGTCTTCCGTTTTGAAGTTTTTTTTTATGTAAAATGAAATTTTGGTGCGAATGAAGCCTATAGGAGGATGTTGCTTCAGGCACGTTACAGACGAATTTTCTTCTGCCAACAGATGTAACGCGTGTATCGTGTTCTTTTGATGTAAAACTCGGCTTAGTGTAATGATCTCGATGTACGGATCGAGTGGTAAATTAGTTGTGTCGCTGATATTCACGTTTGTCAGCGTGTTTGTATTGTGTGAATATGTGATTTATTATCCTGTTATTCTGCGATGCTCATGGCCTCATATTGAGACTGTAGATTCACATTTACCTTTACGGGCGTTATTTCTCTCCGATACTCACTTACTTGGGGCCATCAAAGGACACTGGCTCGACAAATTCAGAAGGTATGGATCTGGTGTCTCAAAATCGTACACTAGCAAAAAGTCGTCCCATGGTAGCACGATGTTTTTGATATATTCTCTGTACCATGGTACTGCTGTAGTAGGTTTGTTTAGGGCAGAACTGTAATTACCTAGACATTAAACAATACATGCCAACTAATCATAAACCGATCAGATAGATATGTTCCAGACACATTCACCGGCAGATTTTTTTTCTTTTTTTTCTTTTTACTTGAAAGATTACAAAGCCATTTCTAAAGTCACTTTAAATACTATCATCTCTGCATTTTAGTAGGAATATTATAACACTTTTTTTTCACAGAGAATGGCAGATGGAAAGGGCATTCCAGACATCTCTGTGGCTTCTAAATCCAGAAATTGTCTTCATTTTAGGAGATGTATTTGATGAGGGCAAGTGGAGCTCCAGTCAGGTACAGTAAATGGTACAGCTTACAACCAAGAAACACAAAGCAGCAGTTTGTCTCAGTTTTCATAATATGAATAGTTGTGCTGTGTCTTAAGATAATAGCACACATACTGTATTAAGCCTATGTGTTTGTTAGTTTGATGTTTCTCATTATGAAACATATTCTTACAGATTTCTATACAGATTTTTATATTTTGTAAAGTTATACTGTCAAGTCAGTTTTAGTTGTACAGTGCTTTTCACAATATGCATTGATTTAAAGCTGCTTCACAGAAATGCAAGATGTTGACATCAGTTCACATATGATTTTGCTACCGCACGTCATTACATGACAGAATGTTTGAGCTCCATGACTGTTTGCCTCAGGCTGAAAACATAAATGAGTCATGCCATAATACTTATACATAATACACAGTTAGGGATGTAACGATTCACTCAACTCATGTTGCAATACGATTCCGATACTTGTTTCATGATATGATTTTCTCACAATCTTTTTATTTATTTTTAACAAAATGAGATTTAAGGCAAATTAAAAATTAAAAGGTGTTCTTTTATTATTTCCCAGACAAAATGTTGCACATTTCTTTGTGAAATTGAAATATATTTGATGTCAAATAACAAAAATAAAGTGAAATTTCTAAACAAATCCTAAATCAAATAAATAAATGGATAATACAAATAAAAGAAACCTCTTCATATAAACAAACTAAGGCAAACTGTGCACTTTACTAGCTTGAATTTTTTAAAGAAATATCATGTCCACATTTTTCCAGCAGAAAATGTACCTTGTACAGAAAATGCATTTGAAGCAAAAATAGAATGGTCTGTGAAGTTATGCTACATAAAACTACATAAAAGCAGATGAGATGATTGAGAACGCAATTGACCATATATGCCATATATGCATGGTTACTTCCTGCATATAAATAAAGTGTTACTTCCGCACACATAAAGCCAGCTCAGTCATTTCCGGTCAACTGTCAAAATCAATTGTGCTATAAGGGGTTTGCTCGGTTTTTCTGCATAATCCATTCACAATTTGAAGAAAAGTTTTGTTTGTCTAAGAGGACCAAATGTCCACGTATACAGTTTCAGGAATGACAAACAAACGCAAGTGTAGAAAATTATGTGAGTCACTGCTATGATTGGCAGTGATAAAGCAACGGAGGAACAAAACATCTGACGAGCCGATGTCAAATATAGAGCTGTGTATTAAATGATTCAGACTAAATTCAGAGTAACAAAACTACAGCAAGCAACAAGTCTGTTGGCTGAATATATTTAACAGCTTCTACAGATAAAGAGAAAACTTATAAATGTAGTTTTTAAATTAAATCTTAAAATATTTCAAAATATTCAATGCATTATTATTTAATTGTTATACCATTAATAATTAACATATTTAATTTGTAGTTAACTAGTTAAGTATTTAAATATTTTAACCTTCTAGGCTGTTGGTGTCTGGGCTTATTTATGTATTTTTTTAAACGACATGAGACTTTTTGACTTCCTGCACTTGCTATACTTTATACTTCAGTACAGTAAAAGTACTAAAATTTGTTATAATTTCATTTCATAATAAATACAAAAGCAAGATGTGAAAAAACTAGGCAGTGGAAATGGCAACTGCTAATGAGTGATCCTCTGCTGCCATCTAATGGTTATAATGGTAATTTCATGTCAATTTCATCTTAAAAGTCTTTGTTTTCCGCCAGGAGACATTTTTGGCACATTTTCTCATGTCATCTTTATGAATGCAACCCTCTACGGACACCTTGGCAATTGAATCGCCATTGGCTAGTACATTTTTTAGTTTACTCGCCTGATATATATATATATGTTTGTAAAATGGCTCAGTTATTTAAAATATCTGAAAGTACACTCTTAACATCAGTCAGTCTAGCATTATAATTTGATAATCAAGCAATTACAATTAAAGCTTAACCATGTATGAATGCATATTAGTTGTTTTAACTGAACATTTTAACTGGACTGGTGGTGCTGCTTTTTTAACTGGGAAAAAAGTTAACAAAAATATTGATAAAATGATAATGATACGAATTCTACTAATAAGAACAATCGCACTAAGAATTAATGAGCTGCTGGTTTCATGAATATTAATCAGGTTGTGTGCGTTCGCTCGAACTGATTTGCTGAAATCAAAACAGGGACGATAATAGGCGAGCACCAGCCAATGAGATTGCCGTTTGCGCATTAGTTCCGCCCACTACCGGAGAACCCGGCAGTTCTTAAAAGCTGAAGAATTCCAAAGGAACGCCATTATTTTGACAGGAAAATACAACAAAGAACATCGTTTACATGTAGCGCGTCAATTCTTTCTCTCTCTCTTTGTGTGTGAGACAAAGTGACGCTGAGTCATGCGCCTTCACACTAGAGTTTACGGTACGTCAAATACAGGTGCGCTGCGCATCCATTGATACGAACTGAAAAATAGCACAGATTGCTTGATGGAGAGTGAAACTCTGAAGCACTCAGTCAGAGTGTTCGGCGAGTGAAAATATATCTGTGCTAAACTTATACTTAGCCTCCAACTCACACACTGGCGAGTAAAATCTGAGAATTTATTAGCAATTGGCTAATATTAGACATCATTTAGTCGCCCAGAGTGAAGATTTAGTCGCAATGTAGAGGGTTGGAATGAAAAGTGAATCTTTAAAGTGAATTTTACTGCACAGCTGTAGAGTTTAGAAATAATAAAGGTTTTAAAATATTGTGTTTTAAAAATGTGTTCATGACAAAGAAGGTCAGTTATTGATTTATCAAGAATACCATTATGATGTCTTTTACGAGGTAGCATCACTATCTAGCAGTCTGTAAATATCACCCCGTCTTTTGCAATGCCCTTGCAACCATTAGACCTTCTGAGAAACAGTATAATAAAATGAATGGGCCATTTCTAGAAAACAGAACAACAAAGAGACATGAGGGTGGACTCTTTTGAAGTATCAACTACCTAGATACACCCTAGCAACCATTTAAATGACTCTAGCAACCAAATAGTCATAGTAAGTAACCATTATTTATTTAGCACTTTAAACAATACAGATCAAAGCAGCTTCACAGAAATAAACAGGAAAATGTCTTCTATGGAAACTCAATTATGGAGACAATTCAGATTCTGCTGTAAAGCAAGATTGTCATTATTCAGCTCAAGTCAGTTCAGTGTTTGTTCAGTTTACACCAATAACTGTGCAAGTTTACCATTTTAAAATTAGTTTAATTCGGCTATAATCAGTTCTACAAAAGGCAGCAATATACGGGCAACCAGACTGTAAGTACCACCATGGTAACTTTGTGGCCACAACCTAGCACCTAGCAACAGCACCCTAGCAACCATATTTCAACATGAACAAACAACATCAAAGCCCCAGAACATCGTACATCGTAGGGGTGGGCAACCAATCTGTGTCACCATGGTAACTGTATAGCCACACCCAAGAGACCATTAAGAGCAATTAATGAGGAGGGGTGTGCTATGACTTTTTTTTAAGTGAGTGGACAATGTTCACCTAGTGGCCGAAACAATGTGCAAAAAAGTCTATGACTAAACATTAGCAAGAAATTTCTGAGATAATGTCGTCAGATCAGACTGTCATAGAGACTTGGATCAGCTCCTTCGACTCAGCCTTGCAAATAACTAATGATATACCAACTTTGTAGCCATGCCCTAGCAACCTCCCTATAGACTTCTGTAGTGTCTGTGCTTGTACAATACTGTAGTAATGGGTACTCGCGTTGTAATTTTGTTGTAATTTTTTAAAGAGCATAGGTCGTAATTTAGATATATTTTTGAGATGGAATTCAGATTCTGCTGTAAAGCAAGATTGTCATTATTCAGCTCAAGTCAGTTCAGTGTTTGTTCAGTTTACACCAATAACTGTGCAAGTTTACCATTTTAAAATTAGTTTAATTCGGCTATAATCAGTTCTACAAAAGGCAGCAATATACGGGCAACCAGACTGTAAGTACCACCATGGTAACTTTGTGGCCACAACCTAGCAACTATTTAGAGCACCCTAGCAACCATATTTCAACATGAACAAACAACATCAAAGCCCCAGAACATCGTAGAGGCATGGGGTGGGCAACCAATCTGTGTCACCATGGTAACTGTATAGCCACACCCAAGAGACCATTAAGAGCAATTAATGAGGAGGGGTGTGCTATGACTTTTTTTTAAGTGAGTGGACAATGTTCACCTAGTGGCCGAAACAATGTGCAAAAAAGTCTATGACTAAACATTAGCAAGAAATTTCTGAGATAATGTCGTCAGATCAGACTGTCATAGAGACTTGGATCAGCTCCTTCGACTCAGCCTTGCAAATAACTAATGATATACCAACTTTGTAGCCATGCCCTAGCAACCTCCCTATAGACTTCTGTAGTGTCTGTGCTTGTACAATACTGTAGTAATGGGTACTCGCGTTGTAATTTTGTTGTAATTTTTTAAAGAGCATAGGTCGTAATTTAGATATATTTTTGAGATGGAAAAATTCAGTTTTACAAATGCTAGAAACGTGACTTTCTAAGGAAAGATTGCTATTAAATAGCACACCTAGGCTCCTAACTGATGACGAACAATTGACAGAGCAGCCATCAAGTCTTAGACAGTGTCCTAGGCTAGAGTTTTTAGGTCCTATAATTAACACCTCTGCTTTTTCAGAATTTAGCAGTATGAAATTACTCGTCATCCAGTTTTTTATATCAACTATGCATTCCGTTCGTTTTCAAATTGGTATGTTTCGCCGGGGCGCGAAGAAATATAGAACTGAGTATCATCAGCATAACAGTGAAAGCTAACACTATGTTTCCTGATGATATCTCCCAAGGGTAACATGTAAAGCGTGAAGAGTAACGGCCCTAGTACTGAGCCTTGAGGTACTCCATACTGCACTTGTGATCGATATGATACCTCTTCATTCACTGCTACGAATTGATGGAGGTCATATAAGTACGATTTGAACCATGCTAATGCACTTC